CCACTTCCCAGCTCCTCCCCACGCAGACAGCAAGGGCCTCCGCCTACCCCCCGAGTGCCACTCTGCTGAGCAGGGCTGCCAGCGACCTCCGCAAGCTCTGCTCCACGAGAAGGAATTTTCCCACTGGTGGGGACTTTTGGACACCCTTTGCCATGGCCATTCATCCCTGAAGCCATTTATCCCAAAGGCTAGTGGCCAGTGTTGATATTTGACTGGAATTCCAGCTGGGATTCCAACTGGACTCCACACACCTCAGTTGTATTTCCTGGTCTCTCACACGTGACCATCCGTCTAGCAATCAAGTCTACTTTCAAAGACATGGGTCTGAACCCTGAGAAACAGTAACTCCTGGTGTGAGGAATCTGGAGCAATGTTTGAACGCACAGACAGCAGAGGCGGCCTCTGATGGTTTTTAGCCTTTGAAGAAGTGCAAGACGAAGAGTCTGAGGTCACCTTGACCCTCAGGTATAAACTGGGCGGGGTGAGAGGTGAGAAATCCAAGGTGGCCAGCCCAGGGCAATCAGCATCTGAAATGTTTTCAGGGCAAGCTTTTGAGGGGATCACCTTGAGACCAAGGCACCCACCTCGCTGGCCAGGTCAGGAAGCCGAAAGGGAGCCTTAAATGATCAATGGGCGTTATTGATGGAAGAGAAGGCTGAGATCGCTGGCCATTGAGAGGGACCAGCATGGACAGGCGCTCAGAGCCTGCAGAGACCCAGCGAAGGTCTAATGTCTGGACTACTGAGCCGCTTTCTGGAAACTACAGGATCTGCATTTGAAAAGGAGAGTCCTTGTTTTCATGCCAGACACTCTGAATCAGCCTCTTTCTCTTTTAACAAGTCCCAGGCATTGGGATCCACACCCAAGTTTGACAGCCACAGCCGGGAGCTCCTGGAGCACAGGTCCTCCGGCATCATCCCAGAACCTGCACAGCAGCAGCCTCACCAGGGGAGCCCTGCCGTTGAGAAACCCAGAAAGTGAATGAAGGAAGGTTAGTTAACCGTATTTCACCGACTCTACAGGCACATCACTTTTCCACCTTTTAACAACTCTGAAATTGGGATACACTTACAATCCAGGGCAAGTGATAATTTTAACTACTGGCATTTTCTTCCTATTTTAGGAAGTATCTTCTAGGTTTCCTGAAATATGATAGTTGTCTTCCTTCACTCCCCCCGGCCCCCGCCCCCAGCCTCTCTGTCCTTGCTCAGCACAGCACGCCTGCCCCTCCAATCAGATTTGAACTCTTCTGTTTCCTCTTAAAGAGACCCACCAGGGGCATATTTCCACCTTTCAGAACTTTTGATGCCATGCTAATTTATATTGCATGAACATTGCTACCTGCTGCAACTTTTTTCCCTTACACGTTTTCTTGTGGCTCCTGTTTCATTTTTGCCTGTAAGTCATGAAGTCTGACAAAAAGATTTTAAAAGTTTCTGGGCTGCATCTTCTTCCAGAGATGCCTCTATGAATGAAATTCTCAGTAACCAGGAAAGAGGGTTGGAACCCTCCCTTGTAACTGATACTGGCTGAAAGAATCAGAAAGAATACTCAGTGGTAAAACCTGCCCTCTGAATTGCTCTGAGTTCTGCTCTGATGCCTTTGTGGAAACCACAGGACTTCTGCTGCTGAAAGAGTCCATCTTGGGCAGGAGGGCGCTGCCTTAGCCCTTCTTGGAGATTTTCCAGCAAGTTGGAAGAGGCAGGAGGCTGTGCTGCTCGATCCATCCCCATGGCCCCTGGCGCTCTCCTCCCTCCCCCATCTCATCCACCCTGGGGCTCCTCCTGAAGACTGTTGGGACCCTCGATGTAGACATCCCGAGCTCACAGCCTCTGCCCTGTAAAAGGAGGTATTAGTGTCCCCAAGAGAGTGGGCCAGGGTGAACAAGCCTGTTATTTCCAGAACCCAGAAACTTGGCATCTAGACTGTGTTTTCCATCCACCCCTCCTTACCTGTTGTAAGTACCAAGGACATCCCATTCCCTCACCTGAAGGGGCATCTCCCAGGACCCCAAAGGTAGCTGCTTACAGATGGCCCTGCTGCCCCCTGGGGTTGTTCCCCCACTGGATTGAAGGCACTATTAAAAACTCCCCTTCCTCTGGGGCAGCATCTTTGGTCTTTGGAGAGTCAAGATCTTCGCTGCTACCTGTGAAGTTCTTGTCATGGAGGCAACTCAGAGGCTCTACATCCAGCCCGTGAGCATCCCTCTGCCCTGGAGCTGACGCCTGTGGGCGGTTCAAGTGTGACACAGGCTGCTGGTTGCCAGTCCATAATTATTGTCACTTTCTTTGTTAGTAATAGAACTCTGATCACATTCAGACCCATGGTGGTGCCCAATTTAAAGGACATTTCCCAGCATCCCTTAGGTCGTGTGGCTAAGTTCCAGCAAACGGCATATAAGCAGGAGTGTAGGACTTCCTGAAACTCTCTTTAAAGGAGGCTAACTCATTGGAGAGGAGAATTCTTCCTCCCATCAGCTACCTGGAAAGTGTCCAAGATGGCTTGCACTCTAGCAGCCATCTTGGACCATGAGGTTACCCTAGGGATGGAAGCCACCATGTGAGGATGCTGGAACAGGAAGATACAGGAGCCTGGCTCCCCAGTTGCCACTGACATGCTAGCCCTGGACTCCTTTGAAGTTTGGCATAGGCTTTTATCTCTTTTAAGCCCCTGTTGCTTTCAATTTTCTTGTGTAAAGGGCTGAAACTGATTCTAACAGATGCATTTAGTACTGTAAGGTATTTGAATTTCCTGTCTAGCTGGAGGATCGTTCTCTCGTCCTCCCAGGATGCAGCAAGCTGAGATGACCAGCATGTACTTCGGGGTAGAGAAATTGGTTTGAACCCCTGCCCTGCTGCTCCCTGCTTCTGTAAGCAATTATTTGTCTTCCCTGTGCCCATCTGTCTTTCATAAAGTGGTGTGAATTAAATTAATGCCTATAACATACCTGGCACCCAGCAGGGACCTCTCCCCCACATTGAGCATCTTATTTTAAATACTCAAAAGAAATGCTAGGTAAACACACATTTGGGTTTTTTTCTACCCAAGCTGATGCTGCTGATAACCTCTGATACGCCAGCAGGGTCAGGCTGGGCAAAAACACCCACAGCTAATGCAGCGGGATAAACACAGGACAGAGGAAGGAGCCTGGTGGGATCTGGCACCAGCCTCCTGGAGCTCGAAGAGCCGGGCTCTCCTGCTGAATCCAGACCAGAGCCCACCAGGCGGTCGCTCCGTTTTCCTGGGAGCCGTGGTCTCTCAGGGGCTGAGAAAGGGGGGTGACCAAGAGCACTTCTATCCTGGGAAGTGCAAGCCAGCCGCCTTGGGGACGGCGGCGGGGGGTGGGGTGGGGTGGTGGATTTCTGCACCGGGGAGAAGCAGAAAGGCCGACTTGGCCGGGGAGACACAACATCTCCAACTCTGACAGCATTTCAATTGTGAGAAAAGCAGTCCACACAGACACTGCAGATAAATGCCTTGGACTGACTGCCAGGCTCACAAACACCCCGGCGCCCGGCTCTAACCTATGGGAAATGTTTGGGAGAATTCCATATTGTCGGTCTCATGGCTGGTCCGTAACCATGGGGCGGGGGAGAAGCATGCTAAGTTATTGGAGCTGGGGAGCGGACCACCCTGGTGCAAGATTAAATAATGGCAGACCTCCCTACCCCGGCGATGACTCGGCCCTCAGTCATGTACAGCCACAGTTTTCAAATTATTTTGCTTTTGGACCATTCTGGCAGGACAAAAGACTGTATGGACTTCTGATTGTGCCAGAAAGTAGTTATGTAACCTTAGAGTTGGAAGAAACCCGCCAACTGAGTCCAGTCCCTCTTCTCCACTTGGGAAGTGGTCCAGAGAGGGTAGCGGAGGGGCCCTCGGTCCCAGCGAGTTGAAGGGTCCTCTGATTCCTGGGCTGTTTCATCTTAGTGCATTAATTTGGCCAAGGGACTTTTTTCAGCTATATTCTAACATGTAGACACAATGACCAAGCCACTGGGAAGGGCTCTGACTTTCAAACCCGCATTTTCACACGATCTGAAACTTCAGGCAACCGAGAAGGCCCCGGAACACTCAGCTCCGAGACCCACACACGTGGAGCCAGGAAAGAATAAGGGTGACGGTCTGCAAAAGCTAATGGGAAAAAGGACCACACTGTTTTTTACCCCTTCGATTTCTAAGACAGTTTCTGATGACAGCCAGGTTCTCTTGGTCACTGTGAAATGATATATTACACCAGTATCTTTACAGGACAGTCTACAATGATTTTTAAATCTTCTTTTTTTAGGGGGGTAATTAGGTTTGTTTATTTATATTTCTTTATTAATTTTTTAATGGAGGTACTGGGGGTTGACCTTGCCCTTTACCACTGTCCCCTTCCCAGAGGACCAAATTTTTTTAAAACTCAGAAACAACAGCTTGTAAGTTTCCTGGGCTACAGGAAGCAGAGACCCTGATGGGGTACAGAATTTGCATCTGCTTCCAACAATGCAATACTGGAAACGAGGAGGTAAACCCCTCAAAGAAGACCAAGGCCTGGATGTTAAAACCTGCAAGATGCCGGGCAGGCCTGCTCCCCTTAAGGGGCAGGACTACGTTCATTCTCTAGGCGGTGAAAACCCACGATGCGCTGGCTGGAGGGTGGGGGTGGGGGCGCTTTTCTGTATATTATGTTCAAGGGCTAAGAGATGCACATGGGGAAACAGAATTCAGAGAAGGGATGTCTGCGCGGTGAGGGATGGAGCCCAAACTCAAACTCAGCCCCCAGATTGACTCTTGTCCTCTCTCCACCACGTGGGAGATGCAGAGAGGAGCTTTGACACCCAGGAAGTGCTCGGTGGAGACTGAAGGCGCCAGAACTCCTTGGACCGCCGGTCCATGCATCACCGACACCATTGGAGCTGTGCCCACCTCATGCAGCCCGCTACCCTCCAGGGACCAGCCTGTAAGGCTCACAGGGCAGCCCTGCCCCCACCGCCAAAGACAAGGGACACAGACACTTTCAGGCAAAATCTTTATTTGGAAGACGTGTGTTACTGAGCGGGTCAACCATACCGAAATAACAAGTCTTTACGTTGTGCAGAGACACACCAGAGCCCCTCAAAGACAGTCATCTGAGCCCGGCTGGTGTCCCTAGTCTCCCCTTCACCTCTGCTCGCTCAGGGTCTCCCCTTCACCTCTGCTCGCTCAGGGTCTCTGGGGGGTTACAGGGCCTTGCCTTCAAGTTTCCCAAGTGTTTTGTTTGTTTGTTTCTGGGTTTTTGTTTTTGTTTTTTTGAGATGATTCTGCCTGGCCATCCTGAGGGGCCCCAGGGTGAGGGCTCGGCTTCCAGCCGGCCCAGTCGAGAGGGCCTGGCTGATGTTCCTAACCTGTAGGTTACTGCTCCTCTCCACGGCGGGGACATCTGGTTTTCATGTCTAACTTCTGCCACGTGCATCTCAGCTTGGACGGGCCCTTGCTTCCTCAGCCCCGTGCTAGTGAACAGTGCACGTCGCGGCCCTGCTGTGCACGGGATGAAGGGCAGGAGGAAATGGTGCTGCCCCCTCCTCGGGCCGAGCTGCAAGCCCAGGGAAGGGGGGTCATCTCACGGGGAGAGCGTCCTCCTTACCCCCGGTCAAGGCAATGGGATGAACAGCTCGACAGTCCGGACTGGCCTGTGGGCTCAAGTTCAGTCACTGAGCAGGGGCCACAGAGCAAGGGCTTGCCTGTCCTCTGCAATACACACGCTGTGACAGGGGCTCTCAGAGCCAAGGGCAGGGATCTGCAGACGCTCCATCCTCCTCCCTGCGCTGACCATGAAGCCCAGACCGACCCAGTGGGCAGTTAGCTACACCCTGCCAAACTTTTCAAGAGGCCACAATCTGAATGACAGTCTTCAGCACTCCCATTTTCTTTTTTTAACAAAACATGCAGGCTGGGGACCCTTCCATCTTTAACGTTATTTTATCACCTCCCTTTCTGCACTTGGTGGGTCCCAGAGGCGACCAACCCACACTCCTGGAAAAGGACCTCCCACCAGGCTGACTCTTAAAGGTCACTGGGAATTGTCTCTTAAGTCCTGTCTTAAGTGGCCACCCTCCTCCCACAAACAGATGTACAGAATCTGCAGTTCAAAACAAAACGGAAAGAAAATGCGAAAATCCCCCAGGCCTGTAAGGGGTTCAGCTTTAGAAACACCCTCCCACCCTTCCCTCCATTCCTCAAGCTGCATCCCTTAGCCCCGCCACACACACAGACGGAGCTGCAGAGCAGTGACGGTCAGAACGAGGGAGTTGCTTACAAGCCCTAAGCACAGATGTTCAGAGAGAGGGAATTCCGCTGTGTTGGTCAGTTTCTAAGAGACTGTGAATCTGACACTTACTTGTGGGTTATTTAGTCATTTGAAACAAAACAAAACAAAAGAATAGCCAAAACATACAAACATAACCTAACCTTCCGTGGTGGGTTAATCTTATCTACCAGCCGCCCTTTCTGCTTGGAGCTGGGAGGCACTTGTGTCAACAGTGGATCCACTTCATACCTTTCCCCAGAAGCCCTAAACCAGCTATCAGAGCTGGAAAAGGCGGTCAGGGTCCTGTTTCAGAGTCATTTGAGTTTAAACGCTTGAACTTCAAAACGACAGCCCTTTACCAACTGTCAGACGGAACAGAAAAAAAGATCTACTTAGACTTTCCACGTGAATCAAAACCTAAGCCTCAGACGGGAACCAGGATCTTGGAAAGCACGTACATTTCTAAGGGACGTTTTTAAAAAGAAACCCAAATTGTTATGAACAACGTGGAAAAGAACCCTGAAGGTGTCAGGAGCTGCACATCCTCAGACAGTTCTCTGTGCTTTGCAGAAACGTAAAGTTCAAAACAACAATAAAGACATTGAGTTTTCAGTGGGGGGGGGGGTCAGCTCAGGGGCAGAGGCGCACACTCAGTGTGAGTGAGGCCCTGAGTTCCAGCCCTAGCACCTCCACTGAAAAAAAAAAGATACCTGGTTTTCAATCATTCAGGAATCTTCTTCAAAGGAAGGTAATTAGAGCTATATTACCAACATTTCCCCCTTCTTTGGCAAATCAAGAAACACAAACACATCTCAAATGTGATTCCTCATATAATTTTTTAGTCCAAATAGTCAAAATTAGAACTTTTAATTGATTTTTTATAATTATGAAACACCAGTAAGTCATATGAATGAGAAAAAGAAGGACAAACACAAAATCTGAGAACTTCTGTTCTAGCCACAAATGAAGAGAGAGTCGTGTATGTATGAACAACAGAAATAGTCAAAGAATTATTAGCATTAAGTTCCAAACCTCTGGGAAGGCCACTTTTGATTAGAGACGACAATATTATTTATCTCAGAATATGCAAGTTTAAAAGTTTAAAAGTCAAATTTTCCAACTTACCCCCTCCAAAAAAGGGGCTGGAATCCAGACATTAAGGGTAAAGGTGTAAATACTGATCACTTCCATGAAGTTTTCAGAATAGTTTCAGGGATGGACGATATAGCCATTTCAGAAAAAATGAGAATGCCATGTTTTGGTTAGTGATACACACCGGGTACCATAATTTCTTCCCTTTAGTGTCCTTCTCTTTCTCTTGAGGAATAAGCTATAACTTAGTTCTTTTGATGAAAAGACGTTTTAGACGGGATCAAGGAAATCTGAGAGGAAGTCAGAACATTCATATGCTTGTACGTCCTTAGCTCTACTAGGGCACACCAACCACAACCGAGCAAGTGACCTCTTCCCTCCTGAATTTTTCCTGGGAAAAACTGTTTCCACCATTGCTGGCAGAGACCCGGCCCATCTCAGCGGGCTGTGAAAAGCAGAGAGTATTCTAACTTCGCAGGAGCCAAAATCTGGGAAGGAGTGACTGTGAGTAATAGGTAAGAACCAAGACCACAGACAAGAGGGTTTGAAAAGATTGTTCAGAACTGCTTAGATTCTGTGTTGTTTATTACAGTCCAAATACATGAAGTTCTGATGAAATAAAATCATATGGTACAGATAAAAACAGGCCATGAAAGCCCAGAGTCGTTTTAGGGCCAAAATGCAGACCATCCAACAGTTCACATTTTAGGAATTTGAAACGCCTAAAAATAGCTAAGGTGGTTGAGAGAGAGAGAGAGAGAAGAAAAACTAAAAGGAGAGGAAAAGGAGGGAGACCAGAAACCATTCAGGAAACGTTAGCTCACAAGAATGCCTTACTTGGAAAGAAGGGACAAATGCATACAAAATGCATAAACTTTGTGCAGGTTAATGCAATAGTAAACACAGTAGAATACACAGGCCTCATAGTACTTTTGTATTGGCATACATATAATGTCTAGCACTTTCAAAAATATGCGGACACTAATTAAGGATCATTCTAGATAAAAATACATATTTCTTTAAAGTGGGTGGGTATAGTATGGTCTTAGGGCAGACCGCCATAGATGTACAAAAATGAAACTGTTTTTGGTAATTCTAGGGGATATGGCAGCGAAAATTTGTCGTAAGGATGTTGGCTGGTTTTAAGAGGGTTATTTTCAGATATAACCTTAACAGCTACATTTGTTAAAAAAAAATTTTTTTTTCTTTCTGTAAAGTTAGTTTTATTAACCCTGAGAAATGTCTGTACTGACATCTCTTTCTCAAATAAAAGTAGCAGAGTTGTGAATGGGTCGGGTGGATATGCTTTACAGCAAATGTGAACCCTCTCTGGGTTCTTCTCACACAAAGGGACACAGACTCTTAAATACAATAAACTTCCTTAAAAATCTGCCACCTAACAACTGTTTACATCATAGAAAAATAGCATTTTTTTGTAAAAAGAAATATAGTTACTTTGTTAAAATGGTTTCTTTTAAACCGGCAATTATTTTTCATATAAAGAATTTCTAAACATCCATACAGGAAATAAAAATAGATAATACTGAGTGCAAAGCAGACGATGGCATGTTGCAAACGATCAAAGTACTTCACTGCCAGATAAATAACACTCTTACTATGTTACAGCACAAGGCTGAATCCTTCAGGAACTTAAAAGCTATCGCTTTTACTCTCTGATGGCAAATGACTTATAAGTAAAGTGACTTCCAGCAGCAGAAGGCCAGATGGATTAGAAGTGGATCATATATATGCATTCACATTTCCCCGAAACTCAAAAGTGCTGAAACTCCAGCAGCGGCCTCCGTGCCAAGCTCCTGAACACGAGCGTGGACCGCGGGCATGGGGCTGCGAGGGGGAACTTCTGACATTCAGTCCTTCCAAAATCATTCACTACATTGTCGGCATTTGAATTTTTCACACACAGCCAAGTTAACACCAAACTACTTACCAGCTTGGCTAAACCCACCACTAAGGAGAGTCTCTGTGACTCTTCCCTAAATACAGGTATTAACTCTTCGTGCTATGGAAACAGATGGTTTCAGTGGACTACCGCTTTATTTCCATAAAGCGATTCTGGAGGGCTGTGAGCTTCCTGGCGGCCATGGGAAAGGATGTTGCAGCGCAGGAAAAGCCAGCAGCTCCCAGCTCTTACGGGGCAAGAGGGGCTGGGGGCGGACTCAGACCTCACGCCATCAGCCAACCACAGGGACCCTGTGTTTCACTGGCATCTCGTCACACCCTCTCCACCCTGCTAGGGTCGTAGGAATCTGCAAAAAGAGAATACAATGGAAAGAAAATTAGCTGGTCTGTTGTCTGTTTAATCCTCAGCCCATACATAAAGATGTTTAGAGAACAAAGTCCACAAGTCTATAAATGTTAATTTTCCGACATTTCAACAATCTATTTTTCACTAAGGAATAAAAAGCTATCACCAAAAGGCTATTTTTAAGGGACACGTGTGACCATTCCTGAATCACAGATGGAAATACGAGAGTCACTTAGTATGTTGCTGGTCCCTTCCTGTTGTTCTTAGTGGAACATAGTTAACTTTAAACTCAACTCTTGTAAACCAGCGGTGACGTGCTTAGCTGACGCGAGAGAAGACATTCTGTGTGTGTAAATTACAACTCTGATGACGGACAGCCTGCTTTACAATCCGTATCTTTGTGATCAAGGATGTCCCAGAAGGGCGTGAGGACCCTGAAATCCTGAGTGCTAGGCTGACAGTGAGAGCCTCCTGTCTCTGACCCCTACACAGGGAGGCCCAGGGCTGGAGGCACGCCCGTTGGCACAAATCTGCCGGGCTTTCCACACTCAGGGATGTGTGAGGCTGGGCGGCCACACTGACCCAATCTATAGCCCACACACACTGGGCCCAGGTGGCCTGGGTTTCCAAAATGGGACAGCATACAACAGAACAGTAGTCCTAGATTGTCACCAGGGTTGTTGCTGGATGGTGCTGAATCTGGTCCCCCCGGGAGCCTCAGGGGTCTGGGATCCAGGCAAACCTGAAGCTCACACGTGTGCCTCCTACGGCCAGAACTTCCTGCCACGGCAGCTGCAGGGTTTCCTAACGTCTTTAGAGGGAACATGTAAGAAATCTGGAAGGAAGGTACAACCTGATAGTTACTAAAACCATTACAGGACCATCTCTTTCCAAATCTAGCTGGACAACAGTATATTCTGAGGGCCACACAGATTCCGATTTCTCTGGAGCAGAATCTTTTACCGCATCCTCCTCACACCTTCTCAACTCCCCACGGTGTATTTACGACATGATACTGCAACCGTAGCTACTAAGACAGCGTCTGTCGCACTCGGGTCAGATGTTATAAGCCACAGGACAGGCTGTGCTCTGAGGAAGCAGCAGCTCCCCGCACGTGACTAACCACACAGGTGCCCACCTGGACAAAGCAAGCAGCGTGCACGGGAACCAGTACCTTCTGCTGGTTCACCCTTCGCAACACCCACTGTGACAACACGGACTCCTGGGGGCTGAGCGCTACATTTTTTGTACTCAATGGGCCTCATTTGGTGCTGATTTCAAGGGACCTCCCATGAGCCAAGATGTCCTTTGCTCAAGGCTGGTGGTCACTAATGGAGGGCTCTGTGGAAAGGGCACACTGGAGAAAGGCCTGGAAGGGGCTGAGTGTCTGTTAAGCCCCAAATCACACAGACACTGGGCACTGACCAGTCCACCGGGGGCAGGCCCCTGGAGACACCTCTGCAGAGCATGCCTGCGGCCCAAGCCCCTGCTGAAGCTAAGGGCCCAGGACCGGGAGCCATGGGGTGGATTCTGGACACAATGGGCTCCTTCTGCAGATCACGGTGGGTCCAGGTCCAATAAAAATGGAACATGCCACATTCTATTATTTTAAATTCTTCAGTACCCATGTGAAAGCAAACAAAAGGAAGCAGGTGAAATTAATTTTCATGATATATCTTATTTCACCAAATATATCTGAAACTGTACCATTTCAACTGGTAATCAACATAAAAATGATTGAGAAATTTTACTTTTTTTTTCGGTAATGTCTTTGAACTCTGGTGGGCATTTTACACTAACAGCCCTTCTCAATTTGGATACGCCACGTTTCAAGTGCTCAGAAGCCCCGTGTGACAAGGGCCACTACACTGGCCGGCTGAGGCCCGGAGAACAGAGAGGTTAGTACCCTGAGTCTCTGGAATCCTGGTTCCTGGGTGGTTCCAGTTCAGGTGAAGACAAATCACTAGAACCCACCCTGGTGGGTATTTCGTGTACAAACACCCACCAGAACTGCTGCCCCTGAGGCTGTGCTGACGTCCAGCCTTCCAGCGGCATGATCTGGCGTCATCAAACCATCCCAGATGGGCTTCCCTTCCTCGTCCGGGACTGGATTACGAGAGCGTGCGGCGGAGGCTGACGGGACCAGCAGGTTCTGACCTCGGCGCCCGGGTTCCACTTAAGCTGGAACATAACCCACCCAGCAGCGACGGGATTACATGACCTGTTCTGAGATACTGATTTCTTAGCCAGAGCCCCAAAAAGACCACTAAAAACACCCTTAGCTGAAGGGACCATCTTTAAGCTGAAGGAAAGACTTCATGATATGAGGGGGATGTGACACAGATACTCACTTTCTAGAAGGGGGCCTGTGTGCACGCATGTGTGTGCCTGCATGTGCGCTGGTGCTGGTGGTGGAGAGAGCGCGGTCACAGACATACACAGTATGGTATAATCCTCCGTTAAAATCCCAGAACAAAACCTGAATTTAAGTGGGCTGTCGATTCAGGAGCAGTGGGGTTGGTCCAGCACCCTGGGGTGATGGGCTGGTTTCCTCCTTACTGCAAAAGGTCGGGCGGGGACAGAGATAATGATTCTTGTGTTTAAAATGATAGAATGTACCCAAAGGAAAAAGTCCAAACGCTTATGAGCAACAAGGCAACACAGCTTTCTTCTAATTGGTGAAGAAACAGTGAGGGGGGAGGCTGACACATGTCAAAAGTCCTACTCCCTCAAGGGAAGACCTCTCAGAGGACTGGCTTTGCGTCCTGAGGCCTGGTGACCAGCACACAGGTTGGTGCAGGGTCCCGTGAGCCGCTGTGCGTGACAGAAACCATCCAATGTGTCCTGCTGTGTGACTGCTTAAGACAGCCTGAGGCAGCTGTCACTGCGAGGAGCTCTCTGCCTTCAATTTTGGTCATTTTATTGTGTATTAATAATAGAAGCATCAGAGAGGCAAAAACAAATTAAATTTTCGAATTGTTAGAAACTACAGCTAAAAAAAATGGTAAAGTCTCGGGGTGGGGTGGTTTAACGGCTGGCTAAAGGTAAAATCGACATCATGGAGGTGTTTTCAAATCCCATTTCCGTGCCAAACGGTCAGAGCTAGAAACTGAGGGGGTGCTTTGCTGAACTAGGAATTTTGTCACATGTTCCCTCCAATATGTGGCTGTGGACTGAGGCACAGAAATCTGTACAAACTGGTGTTTTTATTATAACAGGAGGGGTCTTACTTTAAAATCCTTTTAATTTTCAGAACTGATAAAATCATTTTGATTTTATAGATTAAAAAACTCACTTTAAAAGACTATGGTGTCTTTTTAACCAGCACTTAAAAGCCACTGAACATATTTTTGGTGGGAAGGTTGTGGAAACCATGCTGCCTCTTAATGAACCCCAACGGCTCAAAAAATGGGCCAGGTAGCACTTTGCTGCCATAACGGCGGAGGCTCCCCATCCCCAGCATCCTCCTCCTTGGCAGAGACCAACTTGGTCAGCTCAGATGATCCAAGAGGGCCCTGACGAGGGGGTTACTTCAGTAATGTATTCTGCACGAGGGACGGGGCAACGCTGGCCGACGCTCCTAAGAATCGCACTGCATTTGCGGGAAACCTTACAAAGTGCCAAGGAGACTTTTTTGTTAAACAAAAATTTCTGGATTCTTTTCCGTCTACTTTTAAATCCTTGGACTTCAAAATAGGAGGCGGCTGGGGCACTAGTGAGATGGCGGGGTCCGGCTGAGGAGGCCGGACGGGGGTCTGGGGGCAGCACTGGGGCACTCAGGAGGGGCGGTTTCTGCCTTACAGCAAAGGTCGGAGTTCGCGATCAGGTTCCCTTCCAGTCTGTGTTTATGATGCGGACCCTTTGACACCCACCCTCAACTCTTCTCATCACTTCTGGGATATGTAAGTGATAATCTCCAGCGCCTAAAAGAGGGACGCCAAGAGCCCTCTCGCCTGTCTGTGTCAGCGCCGAGCCGGTGAGCTGGTGTAGGGGGATCCACCGTTACCATCGTGGGAAACTTGCTTTGTTTTTGTAAGGTGGAGAAGGCTCTGAAGACACGTGGATGTGAGAGGGTGCAGGAGGCCCAGGGCCCGCAGGGTGCTGCTGCCGGAACCGGCCCCCCACCCCACCCTGGGACCTAGCAATCAGAGCTCAGGGGCTGCAAGACACAGAGCTGGCAGGTGAACTTTCAGGGGTGGCCACGGAGAAAGTGCAGGCTGTTGATTCTGTCCACGGAACTGCTCAAGTCTCACTAACGGTGTGGTGGTGAAAACAGCCACGAATGGGGGACAGATGACTCTGGAAGGTGAAAATGTTAAGACAGCACGGGGGGCAGGCAGTTTACTTAACCAGCCAGGTGTAACTTTTCTCATCTGGTTAATAGAGCAATGAGGGTTATCTGGGTGAATGCTTATTTTGGGAGCGGGTAAAGAGCACAAATGCTGTGGTCTCCTACAGGACTGACCAAGGTGCCTGCACCGAAGTTAGAATACTCTGTGGATGCACCTCCTCACAGCAAGAGGCCCCAGAGTTGTTTATACAGGTAATTTTACCTGGTAACTTACACAAATAACTTCTGTAAAGATAGGATCATTTAAAGTACACTGCAAGATCCTGCTTTCTAAGGAAAACTTCTGGATAGTTCTTGGTAAAATGAAAAGTCTTTGGTACCCTAACTCACAGGCTCAATTTTACCTTTTCTGAGTCTGCAGGTTTCACCATCCACCAACCTGGTATTTTTATGCTCTAAGGACATCAAATGACCTCGGAACGGCCGCCCACCTGCCCACCTCCTCACCTGGGCACCAGAAGTCCTGCCCGCCATTCTCCTCCCGTCGTGCCACCGGATGCCCGTCTTCTCCCAGCGGGAAGGCGCCCCTGGACTCGGAGAGCAGGTGCCCGGTGTTGAGAGGTCGCACCCTGGAGCTCTTCTCGGCCGTCGGCTCCTCGGCCTCCTCTGCAGACTCGGTGCCGCGGGAGGTCAGGAGCCTCAACCGAGACACGGAGCTCACCTCCTTCATCCTCATCAGACGGTCGGGGTCTGCCCTCCTCGGGGGGGAAGCCAGTTTCTCCTGTAAACTTTCAATCACTTTGGAAGTGCTTCGGAGCCTCTTCTCGGAGGCTGCCAAGCTGGGGGTCCTCTCTATGAAATGGAACAAGGTGGACCTGAAGGGTGGCTTTGTCCCCACGTCCTTGGGATGGAAGGGCTGGGGCTCCTGGAGGCTGGGCTGAGGCTCGGGGGCCTGGCTGGGGATGAGGGTGTCCCCGTCCACCCCTTTGGGCTCAGAAGCCTGGGGAGCCCGTCGGGGGACATCCCTCTCTCCTACGAAGAGAGGGCTTGTGGTCCAGCCGCACTTCCTCCTGCCGTGAAAGGCGTCGGTGGATGCCAAGGGCTCATCCCGGCAGGCCGGGCTGGACACAGACTCCTGTCCAGGGGACTCGGGGCCGTGGGTGCCTCCATCGGGTTCAGGGTGCTGGCTCTGCCCCGCCCTCCCGGCGCCCGGCAGCAGGGACTCCATGGCCACCTCGATGCCCAGGATCCTGGCAGCCCTGGCTTGGAGGGACTCATTCGGGGGGATTTCTATTGCACTGGCTTCCCCCGAGGACCCTGCTACCGTGCTGGTGCTCCACTCTTGCGCCAGTGTCAGCCCCACAGATCTCAAGTCCGGTGCTGAGAGGCCTCGGAGTTTGCCGGTAAGAGAGAGGGGGACCAGGACCCCAGAGCTCCCCTGCTCCCCACCACCAGCTCTTGAAGGGCTGGCCTCGCTCAGCTCCGGGGCACTTAAACCACCAGGGGGTTCCTGACTCAGCAGGGGCTCCCTTGCTTCTGCTGGACCCACTGGGGACACTGGCATTGCATCACTTAATCTAGAAGACGTTACTTGTTTCGCAGGTCCTGGGCTGACTGCTGGCTCGGTCACTCCATCCTCCACCTCCTGGTCCCCCTCCCCTGCGATGGAGCTTCCTGGTGGTGACAGCCACGCGGCTCCTCTGCTGCCCTCCGCCTGCAATGGGCTGCGGCAGCGAGGCTTCTGCTCTTTGCTCCAGCTCTCGGACTTACTCGTGACTCTTCCCCACCAGGGCTCGGAGTCCTCGGCCACCAGCCTCCTCGGCGCTTCCTCAACTCCGTCCTCGCAGCAGCCCGCGTGCTGGGCTGCAGGGCCGGCACGGCCTTCCCAGGGCTGCCCCGTCTCACCATCTTCGCTGCTGCTGCTGCTGCGGCTGCTTGGTTCCTCCTCCTGAAGCTCCTTGTTAAAACTCTCCAGCTGGCTAATCAGGTCCCAGGGACGGCGGCTGACAGGTTTCAGGAGGAACTGCCCGAAGAGCTGCTGACTGTTGCAGGGGCCCGTGGTCTCCCCCTTGACCACCTCACCCCTGGACACGGGGCTGGTGCCACGCCCACGGCTGTCCACGCCGGGCTGTGCCTGGCCGGCTCTAGGCACGGGTGCCTGGCTGACACACGAGGAAGCCCTGGAGAAAGCACTGTTGTTGGATGGGCTGAGGGACCCCTGACCTTTCAGGGGATGAGCCCCAGGCCTGTGGGTCAGGTCGCTGGAAGCCAATGCCACCTGCATCTGCACTTCGAAGGGTACAGGGTCCAGACATTTTAGAGTTAGCACTGGGTCAGGCGACCCGCCCGGCTTCTCCCCGGGGAGGGGCCGCGGGCTTTGGGATTCTTCAGGGAAGCTGGTCTGTGTTTGCTGGTCTCTGTACTGGTGCCCAGGCCACGAGCCACGACACGTGAGCTCTCTGTGTTTTGCAGGGTGAGTGAACCTGAGGTCGTCTGTGTGCCTGTCTCCTCCGGGCCGCCCCAGGTCTTGTTTCTGGGGCTCTGTTCTCCCAGCCAGGCCTCCCATGAGTGCCTGTAGCTCCAGGTCAGTGGAGGACAAGCTGAGCAGACTCTGTTCTTGCAAAGCCGTGCTCTTATCGGGCCCGTTCTTTTTATCCACGCTCGGTTTTAAGTCATTGTTGTTCGTATCTGTATCTGGCAGATATGATTCTGATTTGACTGGGACAGAAACCAAACAAAATATCGTCTCGTTCATTTTTTTCTTTGAACTTTTCTTGATCTGCATCCCAGTTTCAAACTTTCTGAGCTGGGTTTGAGTTTCACAGGTACTCTCGCCTGCAGGGTTTAGGGAGGAAACGTGGCTTTCAGGGAGTCCTAGTGGGCCGTCCCCCACGTCGGACCGCTGTCTCTGTGTGATAACACAGTGGTCTCTTTGGTCAGGAAAGCCACCATTTTCTCCATCACTGAGGGGCTGGCCCCACAGCCATGGGGGGCTGGGAGTGGCAGGGGCGGGGTCCCTCTCATTCCCTGATGGGTTCCAAGCGGCACCCTCACACCGCAGGCTCCCCCACGCTGGCTCTGGGGCAGGGGCGGGACCAGATAGGCAGGGCTGACCATCAAGCTTCACTTCTTCCCAGAAACCCTGGGGTCGGGCTAGTTTAATGTGTCGTATCCGAGGGTCATCAAAGGGAATGTAAAGGACGGAGCCATAAGCAGTGGTGGGGTGGGGTTGCGGAGGGACCCCGCGAGGTGAGTGGGGGCCTGGGCTGCACTCAGGCCCAGCACCGAGGGAGCCCGGAAGGAGCCGACCGCCGGCACCAGCTTTCTCCCCAGAATGTGGCTGTGCCCGGCAGCCACCACCGTCATGCCGGGGCGCTGCATCCTCCGAGCAGGGGTATGTGCCAGGCTGGGGCGGGGACCGGTACGAGGGCGGAGGCACATACCCAGGGGGCTCCAGGCCGGGGTCAGGTACCCCCAGCTCCTGCCTCGCGTCTTCAGTCTTGGCTGGGTGGGACACGCGTGGGTCGGGCGGCTGGCTGGCTGTGAGGTCGCTGATCTCCGCTCCGGCCCTGGAGTATTGGTGGGAGTCATAGGATGGAGGCTTGATGGGTCTCCCAAACTTAGGCCGGGGTGAGGGGGCTGAGGAGCCACCCTTCTCGGGGTTCCTGGCGGCTTCCAAGTCAGGCACACAATTTGGAGAATGAAATGGCCCTTTAGGAACAGCCGGTAAAGGCCCGTCGCTTAACGGGATGGGAATGTCGATGCAGCTCAGGCTCTCAGGGGAAAGAACTCGAGGCAAAGACTGGGATTTCCCTTTGCTCAACATGTGCTCCCCACGCACGAAAGGGTGCAGGTCTTGAAACAGCTTCTCCCCGACACCATCAGACATCTGCCTCCCTAATTTCCGCGGCTGGTTCCAGCTTCCGGGGCCTACGTTCTGCCACTTGGCAGGACCCGCCATTCCCAGCTCTTCTTCCCAGACCACCTTCCTCATCACATCCTCTGTCCTTCCTCCGACTTCCCGGGGCCCCTCCCTCATGCGCTCCGGAAGGCTGTGGGCCTGGGCCATGCCTCGGACCTTGGCGTCTTCCCGGTCCCGTGGGCCCAGCAAGCCGCTGCCCTCCTGATCTCTCCTCCGCCAGTAGGTGTGGCTGCGACCGGCCAGGGGCTGGGAGGACCACGCTAGCACGGGCTGATGATAAAACCTGCAAAACAGAGGCACAGAGGTTACACCAAGGGAGGACCCGCGCAGAACAAACGTGTACTTCTCTGCCTCTGTGACCAGCCTTCCAGTCAAACTCTGGCCGGGAATTTTGAAAAAGAGTCCCAACCACAGTGCTCATCAACTTTAAAGAAAACACAGCCCACTAATTACGGCTGGGAGGCGGCCAAGTGTTTAGCCACTGAGAGCCTAGGAGTGGCAGCCACAGGCTGCCCACAAGTACAGCAGGGCGCTGGTTGTACTTGAGTGATGTACTTGTACAAGGGAATGAGGGTGAGCCCAGGAGCCGTGCTTCCCAAGTGCGGTCCTGGGCCCCTGGGGGTCCAGACCCAGCTCAGGCCAGACCACCGGGCAACCTCTGGGAGTGAGTGCAGGAGTCACTAGAGGGAGGGCCGCTGATGCAGCAGGACCCCAGGACCCCACAACCCCACACTGAGGACCATCGCTGCTGATGGGTGTCAACCACGACTGCACGTGAACCCGGAGGGACCTCACAACTCCTGAAGCCCAGGCAGCACCCTAGCTCCATCACATCAGAGTCACAGAGGCGGGTGGGGAGCCAGGTACTCTTGTTTCTCCAGGCCCCCAGCTATTCCCAGGGTGCGGCTGAGAAAGACCTGTGGTAAGAACCTCCTAGAGAAACATGACCAAGTTTCTCTCCCCCTAAAAGTTCAGATTCAGTAGGTCTGGGTTAGGGTCCAGATGTGTGTATTTTTAACAAGCTCTCCAGGTGATAATGTCTTGTCCTCAGGTAGTGTCTGAAACACCACTCGGTTTGACATTTCGAGACTGATCAGAGGAAGAGGGGAGCTCTGCTGACGGGGAAGAACTCTGCCAGTCTTGCTCCAGGCTGCTGTCCACCACCTGCCTGCACATTAGAACTTCCCTGTGAGCCCTTAAAAAATACCAGTGCCTGGAATTTGGATCTGACTGGCCTGGCCAGGAGCCCAGCACCGGTCTGTTCCGAAACCTCCTCAAACGGTCCCAGCACACAGCCAGAGTTTGGAATCACTGTTCTAGCTCTGAAGAAAGAATCTGAACAACACTGTCAAACTGTGCAGAAATACGAAGCTGGCTAGAAATGAGCAGAGACAGGACTGTAACACAGAAAGCCCACCAAGTGGCAGGAAGCTTGGGGAGGTCGTCTACCTTGATCAACACTGGGCTAAGCGGAAAAGGTTTCAACTCGAAAAGTGCTGAGGTTTTTTTTTAATTATAAAAGTATTCGTTGTTGAGAATTTGGAAAAAATACAGGAAAAGCACAAAAACCAAAAATTGCTTGTAGTCTTCCTCCCCAGAGATCATCATTTTGATACGTATCTTCCGGTCTCTGTGTGGTGGGACGTGGACTTCAGACAGCCTGACTGCTATTCTACAGGGGATCTGGTTTTATGTGAACACTCCCTGACGTCTGTGATGCAAACAGCCGAGGCTGACATAAAGGTTACTGTGCTCTAGGTCCCCGCTAAGCGCTTTCTATACGTGAACTCATTTCAGCTTTACCAGCACCCCAGCCCTCGCCCCCTCCCCGAGGTACGAACTGCTGTCAGTCCCATTTTACAGAGCAGGAAACTGAGGCACAGAGAGGTTGAACAACTCTCCCAAGTCACACAGCTTATAAGCAGTGGGAAAGGAACTCAAACCCGATGAGTGACCACAAAGCCCCGGTGGCCACTCTGTTTTACTGCTTCTGACATAATGAAAAATTCCTCATGTGTGGAGTTTCAGTGGGTGAGCTCTATCACGTAAGATTTATTTCACCATCATACCGCTTTGGACACGGATGTAGCTTATGTTCTAAAACACTCTGTGAAACACTATTGCTCACAAACACTAAGCTCATCTCACGTTATTTAAAATAAACCCTCAGAAAAGGCACTGGCAGATCAGAGAATCAGGTTCTGCAGCCTGACCTCGGACCAACCGCCCGCACTCCCATGCCGGCCGGGCCAGCGGCGTGGAGAAGAGCTGTTCGCGGCTCTGGTTATCACGGTCCATTTTCCTCCTTATTAGTTAAGTGAAAAGAACTTCTCACTGGTTTTCATTTGCATTTCTTTGGTTGCTGGTCATTTCTTCATGTGCTAAGGTGTCATGAAACCACATTTCGTGGTTTTGAACAACTTCCACACCACAGCCCACTTTTCGGCCGGGTGAGGACGGTAGAGGACGGGGCGGAGCTGCGGGCCTCGAGTCGTGTGTGGCCACAGCAGGGAAGGGCCTGGGAACGGAGCAGCTGTGGGGACGGGCTGGAGGAGGACCATGCCCCACACACGGGCAGAAAGACGGGCTGTGCTTCCGGCACCAGGTGGTAGATCAACAGTAAAAATCTATTACTAATAATATTTCTATTGTTATTATTTATTACTACTTGGGAATTCCTTCTTTGCCTTAAAAAGTGAGAGTAGTTCTTCAAATCCTGCCTCCCCCCACCCCCAGGAGCCTGTTAAGCAGCCACTGGAGCAAAGCTGGGCCACGGGCTGGAAAAGCAGGAAAGGTCTGATGTCCCTCTGCGGTCCAGCATCAGCCCCAGAGCAGCTGCCGTAACGCTGCGCGCGCGTGAAGGTCAAGTGCTTTGCTGCTTGTTGTCATCAAATCATGTTTTGAGCATTTAGGTTTCGAAGGCTAACAGAGCGCCCCTTGGGTCAGGTCCTCCCGGCCCATCTCCACCCGCCCCCAGGTGAGCAGCGCAGCACCATCTGGAGCTTGGAAGCCGAGGTCCCTTCAGTCAGAGATGCCCCTGGGGCTGTCCCTCCGTAGCTGATACAGGCAATGAACCATTTAAGGGTCCTGAGCACCTGCTGGCTTCAGGGTCTTAGACTCGGTGCCAAGTCCGAGGGCAAGACTGTGAAAGTGCCGCTTAATAAGATGAGACAATTGCCACAGGCCCAATTAAGAGAGGCCAAAATAAATCAGGAGGAAGCAGGTGGTCAATGCCCAGTGTCAGTGTCTCCTTCATGGCCTTTGTTCCGCAGCTGATGGTGAGCGGGCTGGATGCGGCCAAGCAGCTTTAATAAGCACCGGCCTTACTCTGTACAGGCCCCTCAACGAACTTCGGGGCCCCTGACCCTACAGAAGAGATCACCCTGCGTGGCATTTGCTCACTCTCTCAATAGATGCTCTGGCTTCTCAGTAAAGCCTGGTGGGTTAAGTGCTGAAGTCCCAAGATGCTCTCTGTCCCCGTACAAGCCATGCGCATCAACAGGGACAAAGACAGACAGAAACAGGCTGAGAATACAGACAGGCGGCAGCTACCTACACAAGTGATGGTGTCAGTTTTCACCCCCCACCCCTGAAATCACATTATCACCTTAACTCTGTCAAAACTGCCATTTGTAACCAATTAAAATGGCTCAGCATTCTGGGCTAAACTTTTTTTCCACTTGCACAATACACCAAAAATCACAATTTAAGGAAAACTCAGATCCACCTAGGGAATTTTAAATACTCTCTCTCTCTTTTTTAAAAATCTGCATTACATAGAGAACTAGAAAGCATTTATTTCACAAGCATCCCTTTTGTCCCCAGAATGAGCCCAGCTGTGACGGGCACAAGTCGACCCACAGGGTGACGCTGTGGCGAATTTCTCCCTCGGACAAGTGATCAAGTTGGACATTTACTGGCTTCCATGGAAGATGTCTGTTATCAGCTAAAATGTGTGCTACCTCTTATGGCTTCAAAGCCAAGAATCTGTTTTCTAGGACCTCTGATGAAATAAGCTGAGATCAAATTTTTCTTTCTAAAAAATGAGACTGATAATTTACATTTTAAAAAAGTTAACAATGGGACATTTTACAGAAACGAAATGAGCACGCTGATACAGGGTGGGGAAGAGATAAGGAAAGCGAAGTGGAGGGTGACAGCCCACGTAAGCAATGTCAACACGGTCACTGAAACAGGCAGGGTCTTTGTGCAGAACTCCTGGGAGAGCAGGTCGGAGAGGAGACAGAAGCTACACTTGGAACCGCTCCTTGGCGAATCAGAAGAGACACATGATGACGACAAAAACAGGTGATAAACAGTGTCTGAAAAACATCTAAAACGTGAACATGTGAAAAACAGCATGTCTAAAGAAAAAGAGGCAAGTCTGCTTGCCGAATGTATAAAAGCAGATGATGAAAAACACTAGGAGAACTTTCTGTTCGTTTAAGCGCCACATTTTCAACTGCAACGGAAAATACCACCTTCCTTTTAGAAAGTAAAAGCCTACTTAGAAGGGTAATATCCACCACGCCTTTTAATCACAGTCACACACGCTGCAGGACTGTCCTCTCCAAGGTCCCGGAGCTGCCCCAGTCTGCGACGGCCTGGGCCTAGCTTTGCACCTGACGCCCCAAGGGCAGGAAAAGGTGCCCTCCCCACTCTACCAACAAAACGCTGAACCCCATCCCCAGGGCAGCCCCTGAAGTCTAGTCCTCCCCACGGAGGTCCAGTGGAGGGTGGGAGGCCCCGCTGAAGTGGTCCCAGGTCCAGCAAGTTCTTCCTGCCGGCAGGGCCCCCAGCCAAGCGGAGGTGGGTGCTGTCCATCACCTTTAGACCCCGGCGTCGCATCCTTCAGAAGCCGCTCTCTCTTCCATAGGTCAGTCGGTCTTGCCCAGAAGCACATCTGAGCATAAAGGCAGAGCGTGTCACTTAAAGGATCTCCCCGTCCTTGAAGGAGAGGCTCTCTCTCCTGGTAGGGGCCCTGGGGCAGCATCTCGGGAGAGACACACTCACAGCCCGTGTTAGATGTCTGGCGTGTTTCTGGGGTGGGGCCCGCCATCTCCTGCTACAGCATTTACCCTTGAAGCTCTTTGGGGCTGCAAGCCTGCAACTTTACCTTGTAGCGAGCCTTGGTGTATTCAGTACACAACACTGCGTGAATAGCCCTCCGACACAGGCAACAGATAGGCTCACTGTGGAAAGGGGATGACAAGGTCAAGGGGAGATTAAGACTGAGGTTTGAGGTTAGCAAAAATTAAGGTCAGTTGGAAAAGATAAAGCTGTTCTGAGAACACAATGGATGAAGACCACTATTCGGCAAAGCTCCTCGTGAACCAGGGTTGCGGGCCGCACCGGCACAGATGTAACCAGAGAACGCCCAACCGTCGGGTTGCCACTAAGGGGCTGTCATGCCTGCTTTCCACAACGTCTCGATAAATGAGTACAAATAACAAATAAAATAGGTTCAGCTGAAATAAATTCAGCGCGATCATCTCAGGATGTTACTGTTTTGTTATTTCAAAAAAAAAAAACCACCCACAGCTAACAATGGTCCTGGAAGAGGAAGCATAATAAATGACTGGGCTTATGAACGATGCTAACTTTAGACCCATGGAGGGGGCGGGGCAGGAAGACAGCTCAGGGCACTCAGGATACCCGCCCGCGCACAGGTAACTAGGCAGATCCACCAGGGGGACGCACCTGCTGATGCGTGGACGGGGGGGAAGCCCCCGAGTACCGGGCCTCCTCCACACAGGGGTTTTGAACACTGGAGCCTGGGTCCAGGCCCCAGGAAGGTTAGCTCGGAACGGAAAGCTTCAGCCTGGAGGCCCTCCTGCCCTGGTGCTGACCTGCCCTGCCACAGACCGTGATGAGCCCATATTCTTAGAAACAGACACAAATTGCTCTTTTGTGGTTGCCAGCGGTTTTCTGCACCATCTTTGGGGCAGGACTTCAACAGACTTTTGACCCTTGGTCCAAGTCTGGTAAGGCCCTTTCACTCCTGCAAGGTAAGTCAGAGGCCCTGCCTCAGGGAGGAGTGTCTGGGGTGTCCCTGCTTTTTACAAGTCAGTACCTGGCACTGCAGTTCTCAGGGACACAGGTGGGGCGGACGCCGTTCCCCCCTCCCAGATGTGGGGCCTCGCCTGTGACGGGCTGGCACCCGGCAACCACATGGCACTCACTCCAGGTTCCTGTGCACCTTCTGATCAATTTCCCAGCTGGAGGAAGGAAGGGCTTCCGGGGAGAACAGCGGGGTGAGGAGACGGTGCCTGTGGGCAGGTCACCGGTGAACATGCAGCCGGTCCCCAAGGAGCAGGTGCGGGGCGGGGGTCTGGATGCCAGCACCCTGGCTCTCTACTCATGTGTCTTCTGCGACATCCTTCCCTGCTTTTGCCCCGACTCCCCGTCCGGGTCAAGTGGATGGTCATGATTCTTTCCTTTCTAAGTTTGCTGGGGGGGGGGTGAGATAATATGTTTAAATTGTTTGGCAGAGTGTTGAACATGTAACAAACCCTTGTTTTTAGCTATTGGTACTACCGTTAACCCAATCAAAATCAATTCTCAGTGGAGCGGGTACATTTCTAAACTCTTTCTTCACGTCGTCCGGGGCAGGGGGTGAGGGGTGTGCAGGAAAGAGCACAGGAGTGAGCGTTTGTCTCGGCCGGGGGGTTATTTTAGGCCTGCATTGTCCTCTTCTAAGTTGTCATCGGAGGCCCTCACAATAACAGGAAGTAACGATGTCGCTGACTGTCATAACAGGCCCTGCCTTCTGGCGACCGCCGGGCCCTAGGGGAAGGAGCAATGCCCGTGGCCAGCAAACCAGCAGTGAGTTCCTCCCAACAAAGCAGGAGGAGCTAGTAGGCCACACAATCCAACAGGCAAGGCTGACTGTGTGGGTCTTTTCCTGTTATCTGTCTTAAAGACATATTCTATTTCCACCAAGGGACAGTCTCTCTCCCCTGGTGTGGTCCCTTCACCGCCACCATCGGCACCGAGAAAAACAACCAGCCCAAGCATCCGCCTCCCTCTCACACACCTCCGGCCGCCCCTCCCTTTCACTGTCGCTCATCTATTCAGCGAGCACTGGGGCTGCGCCACGTGTTCTTTGCAAGCTCAGCTTAGCGCCGTGGAGAGGCGGGGAGGCAGCCGCCAGGGACGGTGATGGGGGGGCCCGAAGGCACCAGGAGAACCAGCCCATCCTCTCCCGGGACAGGCCAGGATGCTCGCCCTCAGGAAGGGAGTAAGGGCCCTGAGTCCCACGGCCGGGACTCATCAGGATGTCAACCAGACTCCAGTCTGGGCTCGCTTTGAAACAAAGTGACTGGGACTCAAGACCCACCCAGGTATTTTTTAGGCCCCCTTTTCACACCTGGGTATTTCCTAACTGACCTGACTCTCTAGCTAGAGAAGAAACTCATCACTAACAATTATCCTGTTGGTGATGACATGGCTGGCAAAACCAGTGAGGTTCCAGGCTGTGCTGCACCTCCCTGTCCCTCAGCACTGGCCCTCCTGCTGCCTCACGCGCGAAGGGAACAAAGGCTCTCGGCAGAGCAAGCCGGGAGTGTGTGCAGGGGAGACGGACAGTGTCCAGGCACTGCTGGGGAATGAGGACAAAGCACCTCAGAAGAAGGGGTGACAACAAGAAGATGGGAAACTAGGCCTTAACTCCACGTGTGCCCGTGAGCACGCCAGCTCACACGACTCCTCCTTCTTTCCTGAAGAGGTCCAGGTAGCGATGCCTCGCACTCGTGACAGGAGGCGAGCAGCTACAGGACACATGACGCTCGTGGAAGGTCTGATTCTGTGGAGCACGAGTTACATGGAAACAGATGTCAAACTTGAAGAATTCCTCTTTTTAGAAAACCATTATAAGCAGGATATGATTTGAGAGAAGCTTAAAAAGCCTCTGAAAATGTACTGTTTGCTGTGCCCGGTAGCACGATCCTGATCGATGTTTCCTGATCACATGTGAGCCTCCCGAGCTGGGGGACCCAGACCCCACATCAGAGATGCTCTTAGGCTGCTAGGTCTCTCATTAGTTACCACTGCGCTGATGACAAAAGATGATTACAAGCTATTGCCCGGTGAGCTAGCACAAATTTCACCCAGGACTTCTGGGGCTAAGCAGAGAAGAGCCGACTACGGTATGACTTTCAGATTTGAACCGTTGCTGTGTTACGCTATTTTACAGCTTCCTCTGATTATAACATTTCAAAGGAAACACACTAAGGAAACAGGGAACGCCTGATAACAGTATTTCACATGTTTAATGGTAGCTGAGGACTGTTCAGTGATGGCTACTTGCATCCAAGTCTGCAGTTTCCTCCACGTAGAGATAACAGGGGAATAACTCCCTGTTTCCCCTTAATCGTGTGTGTGCGCACATGTGTTTTCACAAGCAAACCTTGCAACAGGGCAGTGGTGCACAGACAGTTAAACCTGGCGCCACGGATGGACTGCAAGTCTCCTTCTCACTATAACCTCCGAACACAGATGTAAATTTAACATTTTCACAGGTGTGCTTTTCACGTTGCCACAGGGAGGACAGAAATGCCACCGGGAAGGAGCACGCAATAGGTCCCTGTTGTTGGTGACACGGCCCAAATTGGGACACAATAAACACCCAGCTTTAAATCATCTGATGCCTAGAACGCCGACTGGGTGCAGCTTCACGGACAGTCACAGTTTTCCCGCTATAAACCTCTAAATGCAGCAGTGACACTGGACATGCTCTGCGAGCATTTTTTCTGCACCACGTGGGTGACTCTCATGCCAAGCCTACAGCCAGTTTCATCATCCCAGCCCATGACCTGAGACCCTTTAGAAGTGGTCGAGCACCTAGGTGAGCTCTGTGCGGAGTGAGTGGCTGAAGGGGGCAATGCCAAATCTTCAGGCTTCGTAAATGACCGGTCAGGGAAGAGAAAAGAAAGGATGTTTGGGGTGCATGGTCAGCCCCTACCCTGGGCCTGGAAAGTACCCTCGTCCAAAGCCCCTCTGCCCAGAGCAGTGGGGCTCAGACACCCCCGCCGTCCAGCCTCCCTCCCCGCACCAACCGAGTAGGACTGACCCGCGAACCAAGCCAAAGCGCCTAGGGCTGCCCCAAACCACGGATTCTCTCTCAAAAATGTCAACTCAGACACAGGGTGGAAATCACAGGGGGTCTGGAGCTAAACTGCCACATAGAGGCGGCAGCATCACGCAAGCGCCCAAGCCAAAGATGCTGGGAAGTGGTGCCCACCAGGGGAGGGGGTAAGGCCAGCAGAGGAGCAACAGGGCCAGGAGGTGCCCTGACAAGTGACCACGTGGAGGGAGATCGAGAAGGTCCTGCAGGGGACAACCCAGGGCCCGGGCAATCATCGGCTGATCCATTCCAGGGCCCGGCTGCCTCATCCCTACCTGGGAGGAGACCCGCCAGTCTGCGTGTCCCACCCATGGACGGGCCACGAGACCCTCGCTATATTCTCACCACAACCTCCCCTTCCGTGCACATGGCTCTAGTTTCTTGCATCCAGAGGAGCCACAAGGAGGGAGACCCCCCCGCCCCGGGACCAGTCGGCCCCCTGGGAGCTCTGCTGTGTCTGTGCTGGTCCCCCACGCCTCCCACCCTGCTCGCCCCCCCAAACTTAGCCCATTCAGATGCAGCTGCCAACACCACGACCTCAGTGGCCAGCTCGGGAGCCAAGCCTCCTCCTCACACCAGAACCTTCCCAGACTCGCCTCCCACAGGTCCTCGCACTGGAAACTTCTCCACTTCCCAGCCACCGTGAGCCAGCGCGCCAGAATACTCCGCCCTTGCACGGCCGCCTTGGCTCGTCAGTACTAGGTCTGATCCAATGAGTTCACATGTGTTTAATAAATGCCAAATTCTTTTACAGGATTTACCACAACCAGGGAGAGCTTTAATATTAGCACCTGCTGATTTCCTCTCAAAGCACTTTTTTTCTGAGGGGAAAAATAATTCTCCTCCCACCTACCTTTCCGTTTGCCTCTTGCTTTTAGTTCTCTGTTGCCACAAAAAAAAGAAAACATCTTTTCATTTCAACCCAGGAAGCCGGGCAGCTGGTCTGTGAGGCCCTGGGCGCTGGCGTGGGTCTTTGCAGACACGTGTGCGTGTCCTCTTCCCACCCTACAAGGCACCCTTCTATCCAACAGCCACCCTGCGCCTCCCAGGTCAAGAAGCCAACCTCAGCGATGTCAGGATGCAGCCAGATCTGCTGAGAACTCTGCCCAGGGCTGCATGCGACCACTCATCTGAGCACGTCACTCATGACAGAAAGCAAGCCTGCCGGCAGGTCTGATGGAGGCCGGGCTGGGGGCCCTCGCAGTCTTCAGGAACCTGTTACCACATAGAGGCTGGAAGGTCCTGAGCAAGATATGGACGAGTTGGGAGCCTCACTGCCCACACAGAATTCTTCTGCCTCCCACTCAGGACCCAAATCTGATCTCCTTCAAGCCTGGGACAGACCCCACACAGCCTACGTGACACGTTTGCCCGGTTCCACAGCCACCGTCTTCACCTCATTAGACACTGAGCCTTCTGCTTCTAAGCAGCTGTTCCACGGGGGGAGAATGAACTGGATCCCTGGGTATGGTCACTGTGTGCCTGGCAAGCTCTGCAGGAAATACGCAAGGAGGGGCAGTCAAGGCCCAGCCTCGGTGCCCTGTGATCTAAGGAGGAGGTAGGCGTCCTCGCACCAAACCAGGACCAAGGCAGGCGGGGTGACATCGAGCAGGGGTCTGTGTAGTGGCAGCCAGGCTGCCCCGACCCTCAGCTACCGTGTTCACAAGCACCCTCTTCCAAAGTCCTCGGCGGGGATGCTTTTCAGGGACTGTGGTGGCAGACAGAGGCCCAAGACGGTGGTGGACACGAGTGTGAGATTAGAAGGCCAAGGCTAAATAAAAGTGGCATCTAGTCCTTCTCCACCCTGGGTTCCCTCCTGAACGTCTGCCCCTCGCCAAAGAGGTGGTCCTCACCTGGACACACAAACCTGCTTCTACTCCACCGGGCGTGAGGAGGGGCCATCACCCCGGCTTGCAGTCGGTCGGTCACCGAGTGCTGAACGCTCCAACTTAAAAGAGCAAAGTCCTTCCCGTCTTTGCCTGAAAGCTACAGACCAGCGAGGAAGAGCCTTCCCGTGGACGGGCGACTTCTAACCATGGGAGCCCGGTTCCTTCCCTCTGGGCTCGGTTCACTCCCCTTCTTGTTTGCTTGCTTGTTTGTTTCCCTTAAAGTCAGGCCTCTGCTCTCATCCGTCTCCTTGGCCCATCCTGGGCCAGTTACACGCAGCCTATGGCACACTCTGCAGGGCAGAGCCCCTGCCCCGGTCTGAGCCTGGTCCCCACGCAGCACTGAAGACAGTTTTACAAAGTGATAGCAAAGGTTTCCTCCAGGTTGAAAGTGCCTGGCTGGGGGCCGTGGGTCCCCGCCTGTGCTGGCTCTGGGGCAAGCTGCCGAAATTCCCTTTATTTACCTCCCTCCCCATCCCCCTGGCCAATCCCCCCTCTTTTTTTCCGTTGTTGCTGTAAGAAAACACCCACAGACGCAGCTGTATTCAGATGGGATACCCACGCTGGGGCCAGTGTGAGTGTGGAAGGAAAAGCTGGGTTGGAAGCCAATGGAACTGTATGAACGTATGAGAAGAAAGGTTTTCTTTTTCGAAAGGGGAGGGGAAGACATACCTCTTTCAACTCTGCAACGTACAAAACATTGAAACACGTTCATGAGAGAGCTTAATGTTCTAACAAAATGTGCCTGACATAAACTGGCTTTTACAGAGTTTCTAAACAAGTCCTGGCTGAAAGATGTGAGAGATTATCAGGGAACAAAGAGGCTGAGTATTAAAAGGCGGTGTTGGCGGGACAGAGTTCGTTTACTCGCCGCTATTTCCTGAAGGTCTGTTGCTCTAAGTGCATGGAGCCTCCCAAACGCTCCACGGACAGAAGCATCCATGTCGCCCAGTCTCCCCTCCCCCGGGGCCCCAGCCAAATACAAGGTATTGAAGGATGTACTTACACACCCGAGTCAAAGGCAAACGGTGGGTCCACCACCAAGCTTACCCGGCCTCAGAGATCCTGCGAGCAGAAGCGTCCGGGGGCTCCCCGTGGACCCTCGGTCGGCGGCGACTGCTCTCAGGGTCGCTCACTCGCCCCTTTCCCAGCGACGTCTCACCACGGGGGCAGCTGGCGGGGCCATCCTCACACCCGTTCAGCAGCCCGGGGCCGGCCCGCGCCCTGGCCCTTGCTGGCTGGCGGCCCTCGCAGTCACCCTCGTGCGGCGCGAGGGGCTTCCTCGGCAGCTTGTACCCGTGAGAAACCAGGAGGTCCTCCACACTGTACATCGTGCACCAGCTGCATCAACGCTCCGCCGCTGGGACTGTGGTGGTGGCGGTGGCGGTGGCGGTGGCAGGACCCACGCTGCAGGGACAACAGAGAGAGTCTGTGAGCAGTCACCGAGTCCCCCTGTCTGACACCACCACCCCCCACCCCCGGACCAAACCCGACCTTGGCTGTGGTGTCTGCAGAGAAAGGAAAGGAGTTGGACTTCCCATCTCATTCAAGCAGGGGGTCGGGGGGTGCTGGAGGGGCTTGGCGGAGTGTGGCACGAACCCTGGGGACCCTGCCCTCTGATGGCCGCCTCTTTCAGGAGAGTCTGGAATCACGTTTAAGCCACGAAATGATTAACATTGTCCACCCACCCTCTGCCCCAGACGTCTGAAAACACCACACACAGGAGTGAGGACAAAATAAATACACACTCTGAAGCTGCAATCACTACTCCACGTTGCTAAACTGAGCAACTGCCAGCGTCCAGCTTAATCTGATTACACTTCTCTGCTTTCATCTTGTAGACACAGCTTTTGCTCCAGCAGAGCAGAGCGAGGTCTCTCATCAGCACAGGGATACACTTCGGTGGAAGCAATCTAGGTGGTTATCTAGCTGCTGAAAATAGATCTTAAGTCTTCAGGCTCATAATGAGAAAACCCACGACACACTGACCAAGTGTACACCCCCAGCCCACCACACAGTCCCAAACGTCTTTCCACGGGAAACTTTTGAGCGTCAAATTTCTCCCCAATATATCTTGGGTAAACAGTCTGTGTCTTTGAGCAAAGGGTGTTCACAGCCCAGTCCTGCCATGGTACAAGAATTCACCAACAGCAACTCGCCAGCCAAACTGTCCTAAGGCAGTGGTACCAACCAAGAAGGGTAAAGAGGGACAGAAGCCTGCTGGAAAGCACATGTATGCAAAGAGGTGGGGCTGTCTTGTTTATTTTTACACAAGAGCATCTTCTTTCCTGTGTCTTCTGGTTGTTAATAGGCAGTTTGATCAGACAGATCCGCTGCTGCCTCCCCAGGGTCTGCGATGCTGGCCTGGGTGACAGGCACACCGAAGGCCGGCCTGGAAGAGCCCGGCCAGCTCCAGCCCCGCTTGGCTGGTGGATGGAAATAGCACAGTGGCAGCCCCGGCAAACAATGGCCAGGAAATGCCTGCCGGCCCGTGTGCAGGTGAAAGGGAGACGCATGTGCTTCCTGCCGGCGGGAGTTCTCAGTGGGGTCCATCTCGCAGTCCTGCTGACCGTGCAGGACCTCGCCCTCATCACACGCCAGGCTGGGGCAGCAGCGGAATCTCTGCTGTCAGCACGGACTGCGGGGGGATGTCCGACTTTGGAAGGTACCTGCACTGTAGGGAAGACTCCCAGGCTCCGGCAGTTACTGTGCAGGTAGAACACTCTCTGTAGCAACTACGCTGTTCCTAACGCCCCCGCCCTACGTCTTCCAGGAGCTTGTACAACACTGACATAGAAGTGGAAGCACCAGAAAGGCAAGCATTTGTTCTTTGATGTGACTGAGCAAGTCACCGGGCTGGGGGCTGCAGAGGCAAGAGATTCATTCCAAACCCAGGGCTATGGGACATGGAGGCAAGGTCTTTGCCTTGCATCTGGCACATAGTAGGCTCTCAATAAATAACTGGATGTGGGAGAAAGGGACATTTGGGCTAGGTTTTGAAGGATGATTAGGAGTTCACTGCATAAACTACATGCGCATGTGGATGAGAAGGGGAACTGGAAAATAGATGTGGGGTACCGTTTATCCCAGAAGTAGAGAAATGACACAGCAGTGGATCCCTGGTAACCTGGACCAGGGTCCCCAGACTCTCTGGCTCAATGTCACACATCTGGTCAGCACCGCAGTTAAAGTTAGAGTTTAGGTTGAGGACACTGAATTTCCCTCTGCTTCCAAGTCAGGCTCTTTAAAAACCAAGCAAAGTGCACTGCACCCAGCTGGCCACCTAATACGCAGAGGAGCAGGCCGGTGTCCACCGCAGGGGCCACTGTAGGGTGGTAAGCAGCGATGACCTTCAAGAAAAACACAGGAGTCATCTCCCCTGGGGCTAGGAAAGTCAGCCGGCTATGGCTACGTCTGGGTGGGGGCAGATTCAGCGAACTCTTAAGTGGCATGACAATCAGGCCAAGCCATAAACAACTTTCAAAAAAGATTCAAACTCGTAAGTGCTGTAACTTGACGTCATAGGTCTGAGGTCCGAGGCGTACTGACTTGGGGGAGCTCCTAACTCGTCTGGTCTCTCAGGGGCCAGCAACTTGTGGGGAGCAGGAGAAAGGACACCAGCCTCAAGCTTCAACACATGGGCCGAGCAGCCCTGCGGGAAGCAAGGAGAGCCCCACGGGCCCCACAACCCAGAGGGGTTCCCAGCCATCGTCTGACCCCCGGAGGAGCCTTCTCCAGCAGACTTAGACTCCTGGCCTCCTCGACCCCAGCTCAGAGCCTGGGCTTCTCCCTCATTCCACACCGAGGCTAAACATCACCTCTCCTCTCCCACAGAGTCCTCAATAGCCACACGGTTTTTCTAGCCCTTTGGATTGGACTGAACGGCCCCGCACAGTTAAAACCCACGTTGTTCAAGGGCGCCTCTGCGTAAAACAGCACGATATCACGCGTCGTCCTTTTAGTCCCGGCACCAAGCCTCAGTTTTCTGATCTGCAAAATGGCAACGCCACTATATTCCTGTCTCATCAGACAGTGCTGAGGGCCAAACAAGCACACGTAAAAGCACTAGTCACCCCACAAATGTATGCCCATGGGTTTACTGTGCTACTCCGTCTTTGAGGGGTTACCTGCCCTCAAGAAAAGCTTTCATATTAGTTATTCACCGTGACCATTAGACCACGTCCTAACTTCTTCTGTGTCATTTGGGATGTAACTCTCTATTTCCAAAGTCATACACGCTTTGTATCACCCAGATACCTGTCTTTCATGAACGGCCACCTCAGTTACCACCCAAGTCACTTCCAACAGTGCACGTTACTTACATCAAAACACGATGCCTGGGTGCCTCTGATGCACCCGGCACTGAAACTCTAATAATGAATAAGGCACATTCTTCGCTCTTGAGAATCTTACTGGCTTGCTGTAGCGACAGCTAGAAACCAGGTCACTGAAACATAGCCCACGCGTCTATTAGTGACGGCAGCCTTCCACTTCTCCAGAGTGTCACGGCCCTGCGACCGGGATGAGGACAGGAGGATGCAGATGGGACACGAACCCAGTCTCAAGGGGTCAGGAAGGCCTCTGGAAAACTGCTTCTAAGCCAAACAGATCCTCTCCTTCTGGGTGGAGCGGCACTGTGCGATCACCCTGCAGGTATGATTTTCCAGCCAGTTCACGTATGAATTTTTTCCCTCGCCACTTTGCTCATTGTCTTGTATCCAATCCAGTGGAACATCTAGTGAAAGTGGTCAAGTCCGTGCTGGCACCAGGTGCAACCCCAGGGAGGGAGGGACTTGTAGCCCTGGCTGCTGGAAGTCCAGGACACAAACGAGCCCACTTTCAGGATCTTTTTTCATTCTGTGGATATCTAAATACCAGTATGCAAAGGAGACATTTAAAATAAGAACATACATGTTAACAGAACAGTCCCTCACAGAGGGAGACGCTGGGAGATGTCCTCGCTAGGAGAGTCTTAAGCAGGGGTCGAGGCAACGGGTTTAGAAGCTCTGTTGCTTTTCCAGGAACCCACTGAGGATGTGTGCACACATCAATCAAAACTTGAAGGGAAAAATAATTACTCTCACAACCTGACAGGTGCTGCAATATTTTCTATTCGATTTCACTTTTTAAAAATGCTGGTCGCCACCCCCCTAAACGTCATGTCGCCCTCATCGGTCACCAACCGCAGCCTGGCACAATGAAGAAGTCCATCCTGTGCCGGTCTGGATGCCAGACTAGATGGCCCCTGAGAATTCTGTCAAGTTCAAAGAGCCCATCAATCGATGAGAAATTGCTTCGTCTGACAAGTTCCTTGCTGTGTTCTCAACAGCAATGTGGCTCTTCTAGACTACCAAAAATCTCCTTTCCAAGAAAAGTCATGGCAACTAAGTGAAGCTACTTTCCTATTCCTCAGGGCACAAGATGAAAAGGAAGAAACCTTCCTAAGGGAAAGTCCTGTCTTCTGCTTCCTTCCTCACCCTGCCCCCGATCTACCTGGGGCCTGACACCCGAGGCCTCGGCACACCGCTTCACTGGTTGACAGATAAAGCTGGCATCTCAGAAGCAAAGAGGGACAGGGGCGCCAAAGAACCTTCAAAATGAACCGGGTCTGCGGTGCTGCTGCATGGGAGAGCCATTCCTGGCGGAGTTTTTGTTTCTTTTGGGTTCACTATGGCTCTTTTCATCTTTTCCTACTATTTTCTAACCCACAGAGTAAGTCCAGCACTCCAAAGACAAAATTTATAAAGCTCTTTAAAAATTCTACCTTCCCCAATAAAAACGTGACAGTCTCGTAAAAGGGACCCGTGTCCTGGCGGGGCTCCTTCCCTGGGCAGCGTGTGCTCAGCTGTTTCTTCTCATCACAGGTGGGAGCGGCTGCAGACCTTCTACCCTGTCACCCCCACCCACCCCGACAGAGAGGGACCAGGAGCACAGTAGTAAGACGAGAACGTGGACTTTCAGGACAGAAGGGCCTGGCTTTCCAGCCTGGCTTCCACTTGGTCGCTGGCCTTTACCAAGTGACTTAACTCCCAAGTCTCAGTTTTCCAATCTGTAAAATATATCTGCCACTTATTCCAAAGAAAAGTACATGGCCTCCAGGAGCCATTAGGGTGTTGGGATAGTCATTTCTACTGGACTTTGTGATGTTGCTCGATTTAACCAGAGAGAAATCCGGGCTCAACCTAGTCACCTAGGCTCAGACATCTTCTCACCAGGCTGCAGCAAAACAAACCGTGTGATGAAAGCAAACTTTGTCGGGCAGCACACAGAAAGGGGAAAAACTGGATTCGTAACACACCAAAAAACGGTGAGGCGAAATGCAAACTTCGGGGGTTTACCCTCTGTTCTGTTATGGAAACTGCATACTCACGAGTATAAAAACTCATAATATGACCAAAGAAACGGTGAAGGAAGACAAAAGGTAAC